AAAAAAAAAAAAAAAAAAAAAAAAAATTATAGTAATTCATGACAAGAGTTCACAGCCTAAAGAAATTTTCAAGGAGAAAACGCTGCTCTCATGAGCTACTAGTTTCCTAACCTAATAAAATTTTTACAGTTAAGAGAATTTTTCTTTTATTCCTTTCATTCTTGTGTTGTAAACAGTGGGAAAGGATGGAATTTCATCCTACTTTTGGATAATTTTTTCTGGAAACTAATTGATTAGCTCGTATGTCATACAGAGAGACCCCCCCAAATCAGTTTTCCTGAATCTCTTTGTCTTATGACAATACTATGTCTTCTGAAAAGTCCCAGATTCTGCACAAATTTACTCTTTAAAGACAAAGTAACATTGCTACTATCACTCAATCTACTTTCTTAATAAGGTTATGATGACTACTTGACTACATGTAGCAAACATTAAATTTATACTTTATCAGGTGTTCGTAGCTTAAATTTAATAATCGTTTTCAAACCTAAAAGTTTAAAAGCAGAAAAGGTGTTCATTGTATATTTTTACTTCATTATCTCATGTTGAAAAGAGGCTATGAAATCTTTATACGAAACATGGGAATATGATCTCCACAACGATAAACATTAGTTAGTACAACTACCACTTAAAATACTTATACTTTGGTTAAATGGGGATAATAAAGAATATGAGATTTTTATTAAAAGCAAGATATACTGAAAACATGGCTATTCTGATAGGTTGCTATACATAAGGTAAATGTGATTCATACTTTACAACACCCCATTCTTAATCAAATAAATGTTGTTCCCTTCAGAGTATAAATTCTAATTTGGCTCGAAGATGATGTGATCTTTTATTTCCCATTACAAAACAAGCATATACTGTGACTCTAATCAAAAGCATACATAACTTTAAATTTAAAATACTGAAGGGAGATGCAAAAAGACTCACAGGCACACCATGCTCCATTAGCACATTGGGGTTCATGATGGTGACTAACTGATGTAGGAGATCAGGCTGGGATTCAAATAACTCAGGGGCCAGCTCCCTCATCACCTCCTCCAGTTGTTCTGCAGCATGAGATGGCACACCATACCATGTCTTTGGCTCCCCCCTAGCAAAAGAAATAACTGTTTATCTAGGTAGAGCATGGTGCCAATGAGGCCAGGGTCTCTGATTCAAATCCACTAAATTATAATTAACTTTGTCTTGCTCCATGGCCATAGATTATATGCCCTGAATCCTAGCAACCATCTCAAAAATCTGTGCTATTATTCATAATAGGGGGTAAGGCAAGAGTATATGGATAGGTAGGTACGTACTTATCACTACAGAAAAGTAATTCAAAGTATATAAACTCTTTAAGGTAGATCACTAAACAGCATCTTCAAATAGGAAAGATGCTATATGAAAAGCAAGCATTGTTCCAAAGGATACTGACATACTGCCTGATTCACAGGTCCACTGGACATTCCAATTATCCCCACAATGATCAAAGTAAAAGTCACTGCCCTTTAGGGTACTTTTACATAACTTCATTGAGTTCAATTTTACTATCCAAGGAAATAAGCCAAGGCGAGAAATTGTTGAAACCCTGAATATAGTTTTGTCTATGAATCTTAAGACCAAACACTTGGCATCATTAATACACTAGACTTCAGTGGACTAGAGTTTTATTTATAATACTAAGTTGAACTTTAAAGAACTGGATTTAATTAGTCATGCTATCTACAGAATAGCTGAATTTCTTAACCCTCATACAATTAACCATGCTGTCTCTATAGAAACTTACTGAGATGACTGAAAATGTTCTCCATCTATGCTGGGTAATACAGGAGCCACTAGTCACAAGTGATGATAAAGCACTTAAAATGCGGTTAGTGCAACTGAGGAAGTAAAATTTAATTTTACTTAATCTTAACTAATTTAAATAGCCACATGTGGCTAGAAGCTATCATATTACACAGCACAGCGATGAAGCAGAGAAAAGAAAATCATTAGCTTTCCAATGCATAGTGTGATCCAAGCAGTATCTTTCAAATGGAGAGGAATACATCATTTGGTTAAGATCAGAATACTGGACAAGGAACTGGATAAGTAAATAAAAGCTGTGGGTGTGAAACAAAAAAACCAGCGAAAAAATTTAATGAATACACATGTAACAGAGGCATTTTTAGAGAAAATGTTATTAAAAAGGAAAAAAAAATCAAAAATTTCAATTTGAAATTTTTCAAATTTCAACCTTAAATACTAAAGGTTAGTCAGATCTTAATTACAGAAACTTTAAAAACTATCCTGCCTTGTATTTCAAAAGTTATACCAAAGAAATTTTCATGTACGCTAAATGTAGTATAGTTGGGTCTGAAACTCGAGGCTCTGCTGCATGCACATACTTGAAGAGGGCAAGTGTCTGACATGTTGTACCCTGAGACCTCTACACAGTACATTATCCAACTTTGGGGTACAAAACACTTTCCAGTAAGCTCTCCCTAACACATCATCTAACACTGTTACACCTTTAGAAAGGTCACTCAGTATGTGTGCTGTTAACAAAGACTGTACATACCAGTGCAAGTAGTTGATGGAATAGCTCCAGTGATCTTCGATGTGCCAGCAAAAGGAAGAGAAGCACATTCCCACATAAAGCCATGGCACCTTCATGCCAGAGATGTCCACATTGATATGTGCAAGAACAGACTGCTCTAGAACAGGCATGTTATTCAAGTTCCAACCAGAAAGCGCATATTCCTACAAAAGGAAAAAAATGTAAGTAAGAGATCAGCAATGACAAGTGCCCAATAGAAACCTCAAGGGAGTCTTCAAAAACAAAAGTAAAAATTTTATAATAATTACAATAATCTAGTCCATAGAATCTATGCTCTTTGCTCTCTACATGTAACTCATATTCCTAAATATTTAATCCTATCTCCTGTTATTTATATTTTCCTTTAATTATTTCAGATATCTCTGGTTTACTCTGAAGCATATAAGGCTTTTTATTACTCCCCACCTGCCCCCATAGCTCACCAGTACAATACTGTAAGACTCATTTTAATAGGTTGCTATTATATTTCTACTTTATCCCCGGTAACATAACTTCCCAAAATGTTTACCACTATATTTACAGAATGGTGCCAGATACTGTGAAGACAAAACATAATAAGATACAGAATCCTGAATCTGTGGCAACACTGAAGACCAAGATGGTGCAGAAAGCACCCCCAACTCCCACAAACACATCTATTTACAACACCAAAAAAAATTTTGCTTCATAGATGAACTCAAGAGAAAAAAGAATTTGCAGTTTCCAAAGACAAAGAAAGAAAGCACAGCCAGAATGAAAATGGAAAGCTGTTGTCTGAGTTTTCATAGAGGTTTCTAACTGGACATCAGCTCCAGACATGAGTTGCAAACACCCACCTCTGAAGCGGTATGCGGTACAGACTTAAAGTGCTATTATCCTTGTGCAGAGCAGTCCTCAAAGTGGGGCCTATTTCAGGGGACCTGCAAAGTCAAACTACGTTCATAATAATTCTAAGATGTTATTTGCCTTTTTCGCTCTCATTCTTGCAGAAGTGTAGTGTGAGTTTTCCAGAGGATATATGATGTGATATTGCAACAGACTGAATGCAAAAACAGGTAAGAGAATCCAACCGCCTTCTATTAGAAGGCTGATAACTGTTGAACCTGGATGCCAGGTAGGGAGGGAGGGAAGTTCATTACTATGTTTAGTTTTACACATTTGAAAGTTTCGGTAATACAGAGTTAAAAATAAAACCCTCAAATTAAGAGGTTAAATAGCCAGTGACAAAGCTGAAGGGAGAATCTGTGAACCAGAAGACTGATTTGAGGATATCATCCATAATGCAACACAGAGATAAGGAAATTATAAAAGTGTAGCTAAGAGTTACAGAGGATAGAAGAAATTCCAACAAAGGTTTAACTAGGAATCCCAATATGGAATAATAAAAAGATATGACTCCTACCCTCAATAGGCTTTAAAAAAAAAAAAAAAGCAGTTTTCAAAAATACTACTCAATAGGGCTTCCCTGGTGGCGCAGTGCTTGAGAGTCCGCCTGCCGATGCAGGAGACGCGGGGTCATGCCCCGTTTCGGGAGGATCCCGCATGCCGCGGAGCGGCTGGGCCCGTGAGCCATGACCACTGAGCCTGCGCGTCCGGAGCCTGTGCTCCGCAAATGGGAGAGGCGACAACAGTGAGAGGCCCGCATAACGCAAGGAAAAAAAAAAAAAAAAAAAAAAAAAAATACTACTCAATATATTTTTTAGTTGGCTGAAAAAATACTGAAACTAGGTGAAGAGACCAGGCCTACATACAAAAAGTTCCAAGATTGGGGCTTCCCTGGTGGCGCAGTGCTTGAGAGTCCGCCTGCCGATGCAGGAGACGCGGGGTCATGCCCCGTTTCGGGAGGATCCCGCATGCCGCGGAGCGGCTGGGCCCGTGAGCCATGACCACTGAGCCTGCGCGTCCGGAGCCTGTGCTCCGCAAATGGGAGAGGCGACAACAGTGAGAGGCCCGCATAACGCAAGGAAAAAAAAAAAAAAAAAAAGTTCCAAGATGAGACAATATATATTAAACTCCAAACACAGATAAATTAGTAAATTATATAGTTCTTCAGAGGACAACAAAATAGTCACCATCATGAGTCTGGATCAATAAGAAAACCTGGTGGAAAAGGAAAAACCTGGGTTGATCTTGGAAGACTAGGTAAGATTTGAAGGTAAATGACAAGAGACAGAATATACTGGTCTGGCTGGCAAAGAGGCAGAGTGGAATAGTCATACTCAGAAAAGCAGGAAATAAGACCAGAAAAGAAGACTGGATCTTTAATCTTAAATTTCAGACTAAGAAGCTTGGATGATATCCTATATCAAAAGGGAAATAAAACAGATTTTGAAAAGTGAAACAATATGATAAACATCTTAAATATTTTTATATTTATCTAAAAGGTTTTGATTATGGAAAATTTCAAACTAAAATAGACAGAACTGCAAAATGAACTCCCCAAGACCCACCGATCTTAAAATTTTAACTGAAAGCAATGTATGAGAGAGACTGCAGAGAGTGGCAGTGTTCAGAAAAGCTACTTTAACAGAGCAAGCCTAAGACAGCTACCCTTCAAAAGGCCTGCTTCGGGGCTTCCCTAGTGGCACAGTGGTTAAGAATCTGCCTGCCAATGCAGGAGACACGGGTTCGAGCCCTGGTTCAGGAAGATCCCACATGCCACGGAACAACTAAGCCTGCACACCACAACTACTGAAGCCCGCGCACCTAGAGCCCGTGCTCCCAACAAGCAAAGCCACCACAATGAGAAGCCTGCATGCCACAACGAAGGCAGCCCCCACTTGCTGCAACCAGAGAAAAGCCCACGTGCCGCAACGAAGACCCAACACAGCCAAAAATAAAAAATAAATAAATAAATAAATTAAAAAAAAAAAAAAAAAGGCCCGCTTCAAGTTCAGCCCCTGGCTGGCATCTGGAAAGCTGCATGGTAAACAGTTTGTGACACTGACACAGGGTGGCTCGCAGTGCTGTACAGTGTGGTTTATGCACGCCCGATCTCCTTCTGGGGGTCTGGAATTTTGCTATGTGTTAGGCAGAAGGTGCCTATGTCACCAGCCGCTTATAAGAACCCTGAGCTCTGGGTCTCTAATGAGCCTCCCTGGTGGGCGATGCTTCACACACAGTGTCAGTCTGATGCTGGGGTACCTAAGTGCATCCTGTGTGACTCCAGGGAGAGAGGGCTCTTGAAAGCTTCCAACTGGCTACCTCCAGACTTTGACCACACATCTTGTTTTCCCTTTGCTGATTTAACTTTGTATCCTTTCACTGTAATAAGTCACAGTCATGAGTTCTCAGGGAACCTGAGAAGCTCTGGGGAACCCCCAACACAAGTGATCATTATGTAAGACCACGGCAATTATCCCAACATGACATGCATGATAGGACAGAGACAAGGACGGTGGCAGTGGGACTGAAAAGAGGCCAATCCCATAGAAAATAATGAAAAATAAATTAACAGGATCTATTCAGTGATTTTCGACAGAGAGAGGATAACATGAAAAAAATGTTTCCAAGGTTTCAAGTTCTATGCCTATTTGTATTCCTCAGAAGCCCTGTTTGTAGAGCACTTGTTTTTATAAGACAAATGTATTAACTTCAGAAGTACTTTTCCACTAAACTATGATACCAGAGAAGCATGCTATCAGATGCCAAGAAGCTAACTCATACAGAAGTTCAACATACATGCACAATTCCTGGGGAAAAGATGGTAGGTATCTACTTTTCTAAGAGTAACTTCCAGAGAAGAGTAACGAACTGACAGAAAATATAAGTATAAAAAATACAGAGATTTTATATACACTGTCTAATTAGTCCTTAAAATCCTTTTGTATAAATGGGTTCCCTCACTCCACCTTACAACATAAAAACAGAATCCTGAGTAAAACGTTACTGCTTATGAAATAAATAGCATATCAATGACCCAGACTAGAAAAAAAGAGCTGTATCCCTGTCTCTTCATGCTATGTTGATGTCTTTAAAGCCCAAATTTCTCCACATTTTTTTTTTTTTTTTTTTTTTACACAAATCATCCCTCTGAAAGCTTTCCATTTAGCCTAAATACGTACCCTAACTGTTAAGGAGAGAGAATGATTGTAGACTCAAACTTTCATATTCACCCATTAATAAATAAATACTTTTTAAGGGCAGATTACATGCCAGACACTTATGACACCAAGAATGGATTTCACCTGTGTATTGACTCTGACCCATTGGTGTTGGCTGCCTGGAGGGCTGTGTTGAGAAGGATTGGGGCACGAACCCGTGTCCCCTGCATCGGCAGGTGGACAGACTCTCAACCACTGCGCCACCAGGGAAGCCCTCCACATTCTTATATGAAGGTGAAGGGAGCAAAAGCAAAAACAGATGAATATTCATACAGAATTCAAACATTTAGAAGGATTAATATCTATATTGTTTACTTAGGGTTGACATTTAACCACATTTAAAGTAATCTTTAAAAAACTCTGTGACCGGGCTTCCCTGGTGGCCCGCGTACCGCAAAAATATATATATAAAAAATTTTTTAAATTAAAAAATAAAAACTGTGACCTTATCTCTTAAGATCAGAAGATATAAATATCTGTTCAAGAGCAACTTAAAAATTCAAAACCAAAATGAAATTCAGAAAAAGTTAAAAGCTGTAAAACAAAGCCTCTTCCCAATAAGTAGGTAATTGCCTACCATTTGCCAATGAAGGGTATGAAGAAACTAAGGTTGATGCATTTCTTTATACTTCTACAAAGCAGGTTTTAATTCAGTGACCTTGAACATGTACACATTTCAACACTGAACTGTTCCTATAAGACATATCTGTATAGGGTTTCCCTGGTGGCACAGTGGTTAAGAATCTGCCTGCCAGTGCAGGGGACACGGATTCGAGCCCTGGTCCAGGAAGATCCCACATGCCACAGAGCAAACAAGCCCATGTGCCACAACTACTGAGCCTGTGTCCTAGAGCCCTCAAGCTGCACTACTGAGCCCAAGTGCTGCAACTACTGAAGCCCACGCGCCTAGAGCCCATACTCTGCAACAAGAGAAGGCACCGCAATGAGAAGCCGGCGCACCGCAACAAAGAGTAGCCCCCGGCAACTAGAAAAGCCCACACGGAGCAACGAAGACCCAACGCAGCTAGCTAGCTAGCTAGCTAAATAGACAGACAGACAAGTAAATAAATAAATAAGTCAACCTTCAGACTAGATTTTTAAAAAAGCAAGATTCAATCATATGCTGCCTATAAGAGACACACACCAGATTCCAAAATACAAACAGCTTCAAAGTAAAAGAATGGAAAAGACACGCCAACGGTAACCCCAAGAGACCTAGCGGCCATATTTTTAATTGTATATCCTTCTCCACTACGTAACGTGCTTTTCTGACCATGTGTTAACTTAACAGGAGATAAAACTCTCAATTACTGCCAATTACAAAGGTAAAGAAAAGGTGACAAGGACCAAAGTAAAGAGAAAAAGAAATAAAGGATCATCTGAGTCCAGGTCTGCACACGGAGGTCGTCTCCTAGGCGACAGTACTTCATCACGTTACAGTTTAAATGCATATTTGAAAACCTACCTGCCCAGGTGTTAAAGGAACATTAATTGTGGACCTACCAGGAAAATGTAATTTTAAAAAAAAATCTTGTCACTTGCTAGATTTCCAAACAGAAAGAGCTAGGCAAAATCTTAACTAAAGTTAAAGTTTTAAACCAATTTAACTGGTTTTAAAATGCAAAGTTGAGGGCTTCCCTGGTGGCGCAGTGGTTTAGAGTCCGCCTCCCCGACTGCAGGGGACGCAGGTTCGTGCCCCGGTCCGGGGGGATCCCACATGCCGCGGAGTGGCTGGGCCCGTGAGCCATGGCCGCTGAGCCTGCGCATCCGGAGCCTGTGCTCCGCAACGGGAGAGGCCACAAGTGAGAGGCCCAAGTACCGCAAAAAAAAAAAAAAAAAAAAAAATTGATAAAATGCAAAGTTAAATGATTTTTTTTTTTTTTTTTTTTTTTAAATCATGTAACCTTTTGAGTATGCTCATGTTATCCAAGGCCAAGTAGAATACAGCTCGAAGTTTGACCTAAATGTGTTGGGAAGAAGGAAAGATGATCCTAAGGATTCCTGAAATCAGGAAAAATTGTTCTGTCCGCTGCATCGGCAGGCGGACTCTCAACCACTGTGCCACCAGGGAAGCCCAAGTTAAATAATATTTAACGGTACTTTGAATTTATTATTTTCAAAACTGAAGATTATTTTTACTGTCCAAATTCTACATATTTAATATTTTAAATGAACGTGGTCCCTTAAGATTAAAGAAAGGCAGTTTTCTACTATGTAAAGGCTGAATCAGCTTCAGGGTAAGAAATCTGGATACTAGTATGTGCTCTGCACCTCTTCTTCTGGCAGCATCTTTCTCCGACCATCCTTTACAGGAAATCCACTTCCAAAGTCTTTTGAGGAGATGTCAGCTCCATACTCTACGATAACATCTTCTTCAATGCTGCTCACCAGCCGCCAGAATTCCTTCTCCACTAGTTCTGTGGGAACCATCTACACAGGGAAAGCAAAGATTACAGATTACCAACTCTCTATAACCATAACCCACTATGACATAATACACAGGTCAAGTGAACAAAAGCCCATGAAAAAACAGAAAACCTTCTCAATTCCCAGAGCTGAAAAGACTGCAGTCCTAGCTTTTCTGACTGACGATGGGAAAAGCTAAAGACAACTTAGATATTCAGAAAAACATAATGAATTTGAACTGCCTTCTTCTGCAAGCTGCTTTCCAACTAAGAAGGATAAAGATGACCCAGGACATAAGGAAGGAAAAGGAAATACAAAAATCAAGGCTGAATTTTAACAGCTTTGGCAAATTATTTCGAAAGGGATTTTTTTAAAGTCCAAGATCCCCCAGGAAAAGAAGCAAACCTCATACTACAAATAACTAAACCAAAGCAGCAACTGGCACATCCTCCATCCTTGTCTGTAAAGGGCAGCGCTCCCAGAGCACTAAAGAACAAGTGGGAGATTGAAGTCAGTTTCTCTACAGTGCACACTGCCACGACAGAGGGTAAAAGAAACAAAAACAGATCCCAGGCCCCTAATCTTCAGATCTGGTGTTCTATCATCTTCTTTATGCTGTCCCTGTTTTCTACAAAATAATGAAAGTTGTTAAAAAGCAACGCAAAAGCTTTGGAATCAGATAAATTTTTATACTTCCCCAAAGTGACCTAAAAGATAGATACTCACATGAACTGGCATATTGAAATAGTCAGACTTAAAATTATCTGCCATCTCTCCAAAGCTCTGAAGTGTATACTCCCGTACAGCTTGTTCAAATCCAAAGGCTTCTCTAGGTTTATTACATTCCTGGGAAGAAAAAATATCTAAGATTAACTTACTGAAACTGAACTGAAGGACGCATTAAGGCCCTCAGGTACTACCTTCTTTGATCATTTCCCTAGGTGAAGCAAATCCAGTCAACTCTAGACCGCAAAACAATTATTAATGTGGAATCAGGAAATAATGTTCTTAAACTTCAACTGCATTTTCACACCTTCCAGTAGGAAGGTGGCAATGAGACAGCTTTAGGCTTTGGAGTTGTCATTAAGCTTTGGCACCAAGACAAACACTTGGAGGACTACCAACCTGGAATCAAGCCCAGGGATGTCTATTATCCTCGGTGGAAAATATAAATGTTCATGGAGGGAGGAAAGGTAAAGGACAAAGGGATATTCACCGGGTTGGTAGGATAATTAGCTAGAAAAATGATTTTTTTTCATACTATCAACCACCATGACCAATTTCTTAACACAAATACTGACTTCGAGTAGAACTGAATCATCTAACCTTGAGAATAATAAATAAAAAATAATTCAAGGGACTTCCCTGGTAGCACAAGTGGTTAAGAATCCACCTGTCAATACAGGGGACATGGGTTCGATCCCTGGTCCAGGAAGATCCCACATGCCACACAGCAACTGAGCCTGTGTGCCACAACTATTGAGCCTGCACTCTAGAGCCCACGAGCCATAACTGCTGAGCCCGCGAGCCACAACTACTGAAGCCCGTGCGCCTAGAGCCCGTGTTCCACAATAAGAGAAGCCACCGCAATGAGAAGGCTGCGCACCACAATGAAGAGTAGCCCCCACTCGCCGCAACTAGAGAAAAGCCCACGCACAGCAACGAAGACCCAACACAGCCATAAATAAATAAATAATTCAAAGGCCATAAATATCCATCTTTGACTACATCTAGATATACCCAGCCATC